AGAACCTTCAGCCCACCCTCAATCAAAAACGTATCGTGGCTGGCGTCACTTGTCATCTCTACCGTGTTGTGCGTGCCTGTTTGTTTTGGAACAACCAGATGGGTCACAGTTACCAGTTCACTGTTGACGTCCCCACATAACAAGGCACAGGTTTCAATGCCTTGTTCGGTGTTCACAGCTGCTGCCTCCAGAAACCGTTCTTCTAGGTCTCCAGGAGTCAGCAATCTCCTGAGTTCACCAGTATCATTTATGTCTTGCATTGTGAACTTAAATTCGGCATAAATCAAATAAATAACGTATCACTTTAGGCCATTTAAATGTTATTTAAATGGCCTAAAGTGATACGTTATATATATATATATATATATATATATATATATATATATATATATATATATATATATATATATATATATATATATATATATATATATATATATATATATATATATATATATATATATATATATATATATATATATATATATATATATATATATATATATATATATATATATGTATATATGTATATATACATATATATATGGCTGCGATCAAGATTAAAGTTGTCGTAAATCGGTTACTCATTAGGATGTAAATTAAAGTTCGTTCATAATTCGTTCGCTGTTATATTTATCTTAGCTTTATATATATATATATATATATATATATATATATATATATATATATATATATATATATATATATATATATATATATATATTTTTCATTAAACACGACAGCATGTTTGGTGTTATTCAGCTTTTTTGTTTCATTTTCGAGACGTCGGACGGTACTTCTTTCTTCATCGTTCAACGAGAAAAGTAACTCACCAAAAGAAGCAATGGCTGCGATCAAGATTAAAGTTGTCGTAAATCGGTTACTCATTAGGATGTAAATTAAAGTTCGTTCATAATTCGTTCGCTGTTATATTTATCTTAGCTTTCGATCAACATTGATCATCATCAGAGAAATGAATATACACAAATGATGCCGCGCAATATATGTCACAGATGAATAAAATATTAACATTTCTTCAAACATCGTCCTATTTGTATCATGGCACCACTCTTTCGAACACAAATCTACATCCAGCTAAATACACAGGTCTTAACCCGCGCGGGGCTGGGGTCTCCAGCCGAACGCGCGGGGCTGGGGGGGGGGGGGGGGGGGTAAATTTTACCCCCCCTGTTATCTCCCGAACTAATGGTCCGATTTGGAAAATTCAAACGCCAATCGAAAGCTCTCATCACGAACTACTAAAAACATGTACTTAATTTAAAGTTTGAGGTCAAGGTCAAGGTCAGGTCAAGGGTACAAATTGCAAGGTTCTACAGCAGTGGTCGGCAGGTCCTCCGGGGTCGTGCCCCCTTTTTTGGCGCCAGGCAGGGCCATTACCCCCCACCTACCAGACCCCATTGCTAATACAACCACGGTTACTGAAATTCCATACTTTTACGTGACTCTTTGGGTACCATATCTGCGAGAAACCGCAGGTCCCCTGCGGTTTCTCGCAAATATCTCAAAAACGTTGGCACGGAGCGCCACCCATTTTGGAACAATTGATCATACATCGTTTCTGCAGATGTTGTGAATATTTCAGACCAGAGTCACTCAAGGTCAGGTCACCAGATCACGTCAAGTGACCTCACCTCAGTAAAGACTGTAACGCCTGCTTTAGCTGCATTGAGTGACAGGTCTCTTTCAAACTTTCAGGAATTGATAAAGGCGACAGCATGTACAAAATTTGTATCTCGGAGATTTGATGTCGGTGACCAAAGTTAAGGTCAATTTCACGCCCTCTCCCATTATCAATGGGAGAGGGCGCAAAGTAAATGGTAGAAAATTGAAAGGCGCCTCTTTTGGACCAGTGTCATTCCTAACACTGTGACACTCTTATTTACAAGTAAACATGACCGCTGAACCGGAAAATTGCACCCGTAACCCCACTGTATGTCCCTGAGGTCATTTCAGGTCATGAATGGTATCTAACAGCTTTTCGCTAATAACTTTTGATAAACCAGAGCGATGAAAATGCCTTAGATATGTTCAGCTCGACGATACGGATCGACTGATGTGCAACAAAACAAAACCTTCGATGTTTCTCGACGGGAGGATCACGATGCTGATAAAAGTGAGCTCTTGCAAGTTTTGAGTGACAAGTTATTTAAGAAAAACTATCAGCAAGCAACGTACATTTTGGCAGTTTTTGTCTCCTGCAGGCTAAACCGTTAATCTTCGGTTGAATCTAAGGGCAGGCATCAGAAAAAACGTTAAAGAGAGCTATCGAATGCGCTTTTCCGCAGCGCTGTAGCTCTATCCTTTCCTGAGCTATAGGCCAGTTTGTCGAAAACTGTCAAAGGTTGACCTGGAAATAAGCGAAATTTTACGTTCGATGACCTCTGGTGACCTGACCTTTGATTTGACCTAAAAAGTGACCATATTTTTTTCTTCATCATTTCTTACGCTCTTTCGATCGCCGACTACGGCGTTTCGCTAGTGACCCAGGAGCCAAGTTAGTAGGGGGTGTTCAACCTCCACCTCCAGCAGGGCATGGAAATCCAGGAGCCCCAGCGGGGCGCGGGTTAACCCCCATACGTCATATAGGGGTAGCGGGTATTTTTCGGGAATAGATCACGTTAAAAGGGTCGGATTACGAAAAAACTGTACCATCGAGCCGATCATTTTTATCTGTCCTGAAAATGGCATGACCTTAACCCGAATAACCGTTAATATGTGGGATCTTTCTTGAGATCATGGCAGGCCACAAAATCTCACTTCAAAAAGTTACAGCAGGACCCGATTTACTCGGCAGTTGTTATTGACCTATAGAAGGTCACCCAATGACCAACGACCTTTAAATTGGGTAGCAGCGGCTGCTTATCTTCACGGGCAAAACACGCTCAATTTTTCTGCAAAGCTCCAGCTCAGAGACCGAGGTGCCCAGGTCAGGGTGCCATGGACGACTCCTCTCCCTTGCGTTAGTGACTGTGAAAACGCCAATAGACGAGCGCCGGTTGGTACATGACAGTTACTTTCAATGACTGTACGGAATGATGAGCAGCTACATGAAAATTAACATGCGCCAGCTCATCAGTTCATGCTTTGTGCGTTTGACCTCGACTAATCTTTGAATCCTGGGGCACAACAGTTGCGATGTTTGTCCCATCAAGGGAGCCATTAAATCTAAAAAAGATGAGGCTTTCTCAGAGGCCCTCATTACCCCCCGCCGAAGGGCGCCATTACCCCCAAAGGGGGCATGCCCCACCATTTGCCGACCCCTGTTCTACAGTATCGGCCTTACACCGTAGTTGCCGAAGAATGGAGTCATGGACTGAGACTGATCGCCCAAAACGTGTTCTTAGGCTACCAAGACAATATTCGTTGCATACAATATCATTCAGAGGTCAAGGTCAAGGTCAGGTCAGGTCAGGTCAGGTCACCAAAAAACAAAATATAGAAAAGGGCATGTGCGACACATGTTTTATGGGTCATTTTACTCATAGAATTCAATAGGCACACCCAATAAGTGATACGGACCACCTCTGGATGAATTTCAGGTCGAGGTCAGGTCAAGGTCAGGTCAAGTGAGGTCAAATTTTGAAGTTGGTTGTTAAGGCCTAAAAAGGTGTCTATCTGATGCAGTTTTTCACGGCGAATCGAATGGTGCTGTTTTTGTTACCGTACGAGGTCTAGAACTTCCAAAAAAGTCATTTTTCAAAAAATTTGTGTGTCGTGACGTCATAAAATTTTGAATAACTCCCACATTTTTGAACCGATTCTTCTAAAATTTGGTATGTAGGTGCACATAGACCACTTCTCTGACATATATTCCGGTTTTTTCGATAGACTCAAAATTTTGGATTTTATAATGATTTTCCCAAAAAAGTCAGTTTTTTGAAAAAATTTAGGCCAAAATCCAAAATTTTCAAAAAACCGAGATAGCCATTTGATAGACAAAGTAAAATTACGCATAACCTTTTTTGTTACGTCTTGATTCCTTTAAAAATGAAGATGTTAGCGGCGTTTGAACTTTTGCCGTTTTTGAGGCGAAAATGGCGAACATGACGTCACTAAAACGTCAATTTCTCAAAAAATTTCCGACGGATTTCGCTCAAATTTTCAGGGAACGTGTCAAATTGATGTAGGAAAAGGTACTGAAAGTTTGGCGGCGCTGCGCGCCGCCGTTTTTGAGATATCGCAAAAATTCGCGAGGGGGGTAAAATTTACCCCCCCCCAGCCCCGCGCGGGTTAACATCGTTACCGTGAATATTTACATTGGGTCGCGCATAACAACAACAAACCATCATAATTCACAGATGACACATCGTTTAAACTTTCACACATTACATCATTTGTCTGTCGAACAGTGGAATGTTTGTCAGAGTTTTCATGTGTGTGTTGATGATGGGTGATGTGTCGCGGATGATGATGGTTTCGGTGATGGCCAGTCGTCGTTTGTCGTTTTGTCGCGCTATTATTGTGGTGTTGTTTGTCAGTAAGTCTCTCGTGAGTCGGGTTCCGTGCTGGTCATGAAGATGTGCCTTGGGTCCTCCGTCTTGTAAGTGCATAGTCAGTCGGCGGCTCAGTGATGTAGTTGTGTGACCAATGTCACACAACATATATATTTATATAGAGAGGAAAATATTTCCTAAATATATATTTAGGAAAGCGCTTAAAACCATGTTTTGGCTATAAAATCGACCCATGAAAATGGTGCTCACCAAACTTTGTCAATGTTTTGCTTATTAAACAGTATCTATTTCACCTGTACTTATGGTATATAATATTCCTAAAAAAGCATGGAAACCATTGTATCGTAAATAAGGGCATGGGGCGTCTAACCTACCCTGGGCGTCTTAGACGGTTCTCTCCAATAAGATGCAACAACGTGTGCGAATGGAAATGATTCATTTTTAGAAGCATCAGTTATGTATAGGAGTTCTTTAGCAGCATATGTTCTCAGTTCTCACCTCCTGTACCGTTATATTTTAAGAGACATGTCTTTTACCGTCGGTCAGCGACCAAGGCCAGTGGTTTGACCCTGCAGCTGTATGCTCTCCATCTCGCTCCTCTCTGTGCTGATAAAGGTTCTCTGGCCACCGCCTGAGCAAACAGTGGCCGGTGGCCGCCGCCGAGACCCAGCTGGCGTTCCGCCGCCAGCTCTCGGGACACTCCACCTCTTCCCCGTACACTTCGCCGCCGCCCGGCCCTTATCGTGGCCTGCGTACCCGTGAGCCGGTCGCCCGAATGGTTAGCATTTGCTGACAGCTTGCGATAGTCTCAGAATCCCTCCGGCTCTTGCCCCGGGGTCGCTAGTGGTTGTCCCTCTCGCCTTTTCATACCTTAAAAACAGTCTGAGATAGACAAAGTCCCTCTGTTCCCTTGTAATGCAACTGAACTGATTTGCCGCCATGGAGAGCGGCGTCAGCTGCGCTCTGACCGCCTGACCTCGTAAGCCCCTCCCCCCTCCCCCACACACCCCTCAGTCAATGGCGGGCTAGCTCAGTGTTGGCGTGCCTTTTAAACTTTTGGCGGATTCCGAAGGGACCATCTGGCGACTTTGTCATTCCGCGCCTGCTATGATCGAGTCACCGACCTGTGTCCCTGTGTCTGAGTGTATAGATTCTGAGTCTCCAACTGACTCCCTGTATCTGACTGTATAGATTCGGAGTCACCAACTGACTCCCTTTGTCTGACTGTATAGATTCTGAGTCTCCAACTTACTCCCTGCGTCTGACTATAGATTCAGAGTCACCAACTGACTCCCTGTCACTGTGTCTGACCGCATGGACTCTGAGTCACCAACTGTGTAGACTCGGAGTCGGAAACTGACTCGCTGTGTCGATCCGCAGACTCGGAGTCGGAGACGAGCGGCCGGGTGACGCCCATCTTCCAGACTCAGGTGCGCTTTGGGCGCGCTGAAGTGCCGGCGGCTCCGGCCGCTGACGGCCCCGGGCCGGCGGCTCCGGCCGACAGGGCCGACCGCAGCCCGGACGAGCCGGGCGGTCCGCCGGACGGTCCGCCGCCGCCGCTCGGTCACCCGGACAGCCCCCAGTACTTCATCAGGAGAAACATCGAGGTAGGTAGGGCTGCTCCGGCGCACGTGACAGCTAGCCAGGAGCAGCAGTGCACTCTTACCAATAGTGCACTGGCGTACTGATGCAACAGGTGGCTTGTGGCCCTACCCGCCCTGTGGTGACCTGTGGCCCTGTCCCTCCCTGTGGTGACCTGTGACCCACCGGTGACCTGTGGCCCTGTCCCTCCCTGTGGTGACCTGTGACCCACCGGTGACCTGTGGCCCTGTCCCTCCCTGTGGTGACCTGTGACCCACCGGTGACCTGTGGCCCTGTCCCTCCCTGTGGTGACCTGTGACCCACCGGTGACCTGTGGCCCTGTCCCTCCCTGTGGTGACCTGTGACCCACCGGTGACCTGTGGCCCTGTCCCTCCCTGTGGTGACCTGTGACCCACCGGTGACCTGTGGCCCTGTCCCTCCCTGTGGTGACCTGTGACCCACCGGTGACCTGTGGCCCTGTCCCTCCCTGTGGTGACCTGTGACCCACCGGTGACCTGTGGCCCTGTCCCTCCCTGTGGTGACCTGTGACCCACCGGTGACCTGTGGCCCTGTCCCTCCCTGTGGTGACCTGTGACCCACCGGTGACCTGTGGCCCTGTCCCTCCCTGTGGTGACCTGTGACCCACCGGTGACCTGTGGCCCTGTCCCTCCCTGTGGTGACCTGTGACCCACCGGTGACCTGTGGCCCTGTCCCTCCCTGCGGTGACCCGTGGCGTGCCGCCGCCGGCAGCTGGCCCAGGAGGCCGGCGGCGCGCTGGCCATGACGGACGAGGATCGCCGCCGGGTGGAGCAGCTGCTGGACCAGGACGACGACCGGCTGGAGAACGCCTTCAGCGTCGACGAGCAGCACCGCCGGCTGCTCAGCTCGCTCGACGACCGACTCAGCGTGAGCAGCCGACACCGGCGGCCGGCGGCCGGCGCCCAGCGCCCACCCGCTGCCAGCGGGGCCTCTCGGCGTCGCCGGCCGTCTGCCGCCAGTCCGCGCTTCAACCGGCCAATTGCCGCCGCGCTCTGTGAGCTAAGAGAGATAGACGACGAGCGCGGAAAGAAATACTCGATAGCCGCTGACCGGCATATGCTGTCTCTGGCCGGGTTCTGACCGGGGTCTGACCGGGGTCTGACTGCTGGCTGGTGTCTGATCGGTCTCTCTCTCTCTGTGGCCGCAGAGTCTGGGGCTGGGCGCCAGTGTAGCCGGCCCGGCCGGCTCCACGTCCCTGGTCAGCCAGCCGGCTGGCGTCGGTCCGCCGACCGACGGCGGCGGCGACTCGGAGCCCGACTACCTGCAGGCCAGCCGGCACGACCGGGAGGCCAGCGCGCACCTGGAGACGCTGCACCGCCGCCTCCAGCGGCTGGCCGAACCCGCGGTACGGCGCGGCGCGAGGACGCCGGCGGCAGCCGTCCGCGCGGCCCGTACACGGCTCAGCTGTCTCGCACGGCTCACATTTCTCTGGGACTTTTTGCTACGGCTGTTCACTTTTTGCCGCAGTCCTGCCGGACAGAAGTGGGCCCGCTGTAACCGGTCGTCCCGCTGCTCCGTGCCGGCAGGAGGTGCGCCCCCTGGACCGCTCTGCCGTGGACGCTATGGTCCAGGAGACGATCGCGTCGCTGGCGGCGGCTCCGGGCGGCCTGGGCGACCCGGGCGCCGGCTCACTGGTCTCGGTGCCGTGCCGGGGCTCGGACGGCGGCGGCGCGCCCAGCGAGGCGCCCACAGAGGCCACCCTGGACGTGCGCTCCGTGCTGAGCGGCACGCGACTGGACGAGAACGAGCGGCAGCTGGCGGCCGAGCTGCGGCCAGACTCGCCCACCGCCTGGCTGGTGGCCGTCAGCCAGGGAGACCAGCGGGTAAAGGCGGGGGACTGTAGTGGGTAGGGCGGGGACTGTAGTGGGTAGGGCGGGGGACTGTAGTGGGTAGGGCGGGGGACTGTAGTGGGTAGGGCGGGGACTGTAGTGGGTAGGGCGGGGGACTGTAGTGGGTAGGGCGGGGGACTGTAGTGGGTAGGGCGGGGGACTGTAGTGGGTAGGGCGGGCGACTGTAGTGGGTAGGGCGGGGACTGTAGTGGGTAGGGCGGGGGACTGTAGTGGGTAGGGCGGGTACGGTGGGGGACTGTACAGGGTAGGGCGGGGGACTAGTGGGTAGGGCGGGGGACTGTAGTGGGTAGGGCGGGGGACTGTAGTGGGTAGGGCGGGGGACTGTAGTGGGTAGAGCGGGGACTGTAGTGGGTAGGGCGGGGGACTATAGTGGGTAGGGCGGGGGACTGTAGTGGGTAGGGCGGGGGACTGTAGTGGGTAGGGCGGGGACTGTAGTGGGTAGGGCGGGTACGGCGGGGGGCTGTAGTGGGTAGGGCGGGGGACTGTAGTGGGTAGGGCGGGGACTGTAGTGGGTAGGGCGGGGGACTGTAGTGGGTAGGGCGGGGGACTGTAGTGGGTAGGGTGGGGGACTATAGTGGGTAGGGCGGGGGACTGTAGTGGGTAGGGCGGGGGACTGTAGTGGGTAGGGCGGGGACTGTAGTGGGTAGGGCGGGTACGGCGGGGGGCTGTAGTGGGTAGGGCGGGGGACTGTAGTGGGTAGGGCGGGGACTGTAGTGGGTAGGGCTGGGGACTGTAGTGGGTAGGGTGGGTACGGCGGGGGGCTGTAGTGGGTAGGGCGGGGACTGTAGTGGGTAGGGCGGGGGACTGTAGTGAGTAGGGCGGGGGATTATAGTGGGTAGGGCGGGGGACTGTAGTGGGTAGGGCGGGGGACTGTAGTGGGTAGGGCGGGGGACTGTAGTGGGTTGGGCGGGGGACTGTAGTGGGTAGGGCGGGGGACTGTAGTGGGTAGGGCGGGTACGGCGGGGGGCTGTAGTGGGTAGGGTGGGGGACTGTAGTGGGTAGGGCGGGGGACTGTAGTGGGTAGGGCGGGTACGGCGGGGGACTAGTGGGTAGGGCGGGGGACTGTACAGGGTAGGGCGGGGGACTGTAGTGGGTAGGGCGGGGGACTGTAGTGGGTAGAGCGGGGACTGTAGTGGGTAGGGCGGGGGACTGTAGTGGGTAGGGCGGGGGACTGTAGTGGGTAGGGCGGGTACGGTGGGGGACTAGTGGGTAGGGCGGGGGACTGTACAGGGTAGGGCGGGGGACTGTAGTGGGTAGGGCGGGGGACTGTAGTGGGTAGGGCGGGTACGGTGGGGGACTGTACAGGGTAGGGCGGGGGACTGTAGTGGGTAGGGCGGGGGACTGTAGTGGGTAGGGCGGGTACGGCGGGGGACTAGTGGGTAGGGCGGGGGACTGTACAGGGTAGGGCGGGGGACTGTAGTGGGTAGGGCGGGGGACTGTAGTGGGTAGAGCGGGGACTGTAGTGGGTAGGGCGGGGGACTGTAGTGGGTAGGGCGGGGACTGTAGTGGGTAGGGCGGGGGACTGTAGTGGGTAGGGCGGGTACGGCGGGGGGCTGTAGTGGGTAGGGCGGGGTACTGTAGTGGGTAGGGCGGGGGACTGTAGTGGGTAGGGCGGGTACGGCGGGGGACTGTAGTGAGTAGGGCGGGGGATTATAGTGGGTAGGGCGGGGGACTGTAGTGGGTAGGGCGGGGGACTGTAGTGTGTAGGGTGGGGGACTGTAGTGGGTAGGGCGGGGACTGTAGTGGGTAGGGCGGGGGACTGTAGTGGGTAGGGCGGGTACGGCGGGGGGCTGTAGTGGACGACGAAGGGGAAATTTTAAGGAATGGGGACAGGAGAGCTGAGGACTGGGTGGGATTCCTGTAGGTAGGGACCTACTGAGGCTGGGATTAGTGTGGATGTTCGTGGCCGGCCGGCCTCCTCGTACGCGTATTGCGCCGTGCCGGCTGGTCCGGCCCTGTGACGTTGCATTGTATGTGCGGCGTCATTTGATATCTATGGGATCCAACAATGTTGGATTTCACCACCACAGACGTGTCAAAGTACATAAAGACAGGGTGAATTGGGTGAGACTGGCGAAGACTAAGATGTAAAAAAACGCGTAGTGTATCCGTGTATGACATGTGTGTGGCGTTTGTGCGCGCCGTCAGCTGCAGCTGGTGGTGCCGCGGCTGAGCCGAGCGCTGATCGCGTCCCTGCTCTCCGGCGACCACGAGACCGGCGCAGACGTCACCGCCGGCGGCCACTGCCACCACGAGACGGGCGCAGACGTCACCGCCGGCGGCCACTGCCACCACGAGACCGGCGCAGACGTCACCGCCGGTTCGCCGACACTGGTCCACGACTGACGGATTGGACTGGTGAACTGACGGACTGGACTGGTGGGACTGGTCCGGGACTGACGGACTGGACTCATGTACTGGACTGATGGGCTTACAACGACTGACCGACTGGTCCTAGACCGACGGATCAAACTGACGGACCGGTCTTACGCTCGACTTACGGGGACGAATGGAATGGACTAATGGACTGACGGACCGACAGACTGACCCGGGACTGATGGACTGGTCCGGGACTGACTGACTGGACTGGTGGACTGGACCGGTACTGACGGACTGGTCGCACTGGCGGTCAGCCCGGGGTGTGACGGGACTGGCGGACGTGCTGTTCATCGGTGCGGGCTGACGACTGGCGACTGCGGGCGGAGCGCGCCGAGCCGAGAACGGACACCAGTCCGGTCTACGGCGGCAGTTCGGACTGGCGGTCAGCTGACGAATGAGTCTGTAGCCGGAGACTGGTCAGAGTCGGGTCAGACTGATGGACTGACGTGTCTGACATTGTCAGTGTGTCTGGGCGGGAGAGGGACGCGCAGCGGACAGCTCGAGTTGCTTTAGGTGATCTCGGTTAGGTGCTATAAATTTATGTCCTGTACGTACTGTTGATGCTTGGGACACTGTATAACACCGTATATACGTGTTGGAAGGTCACATTGCGTTTCGCGGTTTAGGACATGCAGACATTTCTAGTCATCTGGACTGGTCAGTGGTCATTTCTATCGTAAATTGTTCGGCAACGAGCGCGTCGTATCAATGCGGCTGGTGACACATTGTTCTGCCAGCCTTACCATACACACCTGAAAAAGAATAGGTATATGAGGCCTTATAATAAATGGTTTTCAGAGCCACGTGTTTTTATCGTCATTTGCTTCATCCATTAGCGTCGCCACGGGGGGGCAAGCGGGGCAGCTTGCCCCCCCCCCAACCTCGGACCGGGCACCCCCTGAGATCGATACAGATCCGATGAGATTTTGGAGTCGGGAAAAAATGGGGGTACCTTTCTGAGAATGCCTGTGAGGTCAGACTCGTTCAAGCCAGAGTCGGAGTCGCAGTCGCCAACATCGTCAAAACACCGACTCCAGACTCGGAAGTGTCAATACTGTGATTCATTTCATGTTCCTCGTTGGTTTTTTATTACATTTTATAGCTGATTTTCATAAGTTTTGAAGTGCTGATACAAAATTTGCGTTCAAAGCGTGACACTGAATCTTCGGGCCTTTCTCAACTCTCGTCAAATGTCTGCGACAGACTCAAGTACCGTTCAAGTGCCACAGGGCTCATGACTGCTTGCTTTTCACACAGGCTCCGAAGGAGCTCCACTGAGCTCTAAGAAGCCTTCAGAGGGCCCAAACCGGCCTCTGAGAGTCCCACTGGTGTTCATATTCTCTGAGGGCCCATACAGGAATCTTTGAGGACCTTACACATGCGTTGACCTCTGAAGGGCCACACGGATCTTTGAGGATACTTTTAAATATTTCTGAGAACCTTAGGCCTCTGATAGCTCAGCCGAGCTTTTGAGGCGACAGATTTTGCTGAGCCTAAGCCTGCAGTTTAGGGGTCACGACTCGGGTGTGCCTCTGAGGGTCCCAGCACATGTTTCTTATGTCCCTATGTAGGGTCCTTAGGGATTCGACACAGACCTCCAGGGTTCACACTGCTATTTGAGGGCTCCCTGCTCACCCTGGGCCTGGTCTCTTAGCGCCCGCCGCCGGCGCCGCCCACACTGGCTTCTGAGGGTCCCACCTTGGGCTCGGAAAGCCCTAAAGCACCACATATGTACACGTAACTATTTGGGGTGACCAGCGCCGATTTTCAGGATCCTAAGCAGGCTTCTGAGAGCCCACACTGACCCTGAGTGGCCTAAAATGGCCTGGAAGTCCCAAGCCTATCGCTAAAGGATCCCTTGCCGCTATGCCGTGCGAAATTTTGGTTCCGTTAAACGTCTTTTCTTCGCGTTTGCAGCGCTTCCCTACACACGAAAAACGAGAAACTTTTTGTTCACACTACACCTCCTCTCACTGGAGCAAAGATGAATTACTTCCGATTCACACTTCCGACATTCACTCTCCGCTGAAAGCCCTACTTAGCTTCAATCGGCGGCTGGGATAAGCCCTATGCATTTTACGTAGAACCTCTGCATGCATGCGTGAATGAAAGTTTCAGCAAGGTGATTCGCTTAAGCTGAGCGTTTAACCTTTTTATGATCATGAGCGACGAGCGTCTGCACAGGGGCTCTCCAGAGTGCGTCGGCAAGCGCAGCCATTGTGATTCTAACGGTCGTTTTTTGTTAAAAATGTAAAAAAAAAAATTGTGTAAAAAATGGCAAGTCATAGCTACAAGGAAAACCTTGTCACCATCGTATTCCTCGCACCATTGCGCGTTGAATGATATGTAAAATGAATGAGTAACGACTGGAGGAAGGCAAGATTTAACACAAAAGCTGATTTTGCCCCCCCAACCGAAAATCTCTGGCGACGCCTATGGCTTCATCATAAAAAGCCGTCTGGATTTTATTTGCATCCCGGAAGAATGTCAGCAGTTACAAGCTATTTAAGAAGGTACATGAAGTTTTGTTTCGTTTGCAGTCATATTGCGTGCATATTTTTAATTAACCTTCGCCCCAGTGGGGGGGGGGGGGCATATGCTACCACCCTGTCGCGTTTTTTTTTTTTTTGCGTGGGAATAAAAAACTGCCGCGCGTAGCGCCGCGCCGCTTGGAGTAGCTTTTTGTAGGCACATCAATTTTTGACAATGTATGAAATTTTTGACTCTAGGTCATGTCAAGTCGGGTCACCAGGTCAAATTCACTGACCAAGCCTAAAAAAGTTTGCAATCATATCCAGCTTGCAGTGTTTGTCAGAAAGGGTTTAAACTTGGTGGATTGCATGATGTTAAGGGCGCCTACGATTTGTATATCTCATATTTTTTATATCCGTTACCTAAGGTCAGGCCAGTGGCGTGACCTTACCATTTTAAGTCAATGGAGCAAAATGAAAATGCCTCTAGATCCGTGTGTACGCATAGGAACAGTCCAAATATTTCAGAATCACAATTATTTGGACCACCTGTGACAACCAAGGTGTCTTTTAGCTGATGCCTCTAGAAAGGTCATCCGAGGTCATTTGAGGCTACAAACAGATTTTTGCCAATAACTCTCGATTGGAAAGAGCTAGGACGCTGGGGATGGCCTCATTGTGTTTGTCTTGTTGAGACGCATCGAATGATATGCAGTATAACCTTTTCCGGTCCGGTCATGACCTTGACCTGAGGTCAAATTTTCAAGTTGACCTTTCAAGGTCAAATTATAGTTCATTTGACGCGTCTCGGCGAGAGGAACACGATTCTGGCAAGATAAATGTGGCTTTTTTTAGTCAAAAATTATTGTCGAAAAACACTTCATAAAAACAGCTATTTTTGGAGTTTTTGCCATGTGGGGGCTAAACCGTTGACCTGAGGTCAATTTTGATAATGACCTTATCAAAATAAGAGTTCGAAAGCTGTCGTTTGCTTTTCCATGCGTTTTTCTAGATATCATAGTTCCTGAGATAAATGCATGTTTTCTGAAAAATGTAATGACATTTGGCAAATTTTGACCTTTGATGACTTCCAGTGACCCCAATATTGTTCTAAGGTGAAAAATGACCGAAATACTTTCAAACGTACGCATTGAGAGCTATCGACTGCTGTTTACCGCGTCTTTCTAGCCCTCTTAGTTTTTGAGTTAGAGGTCATAGGCGGTCCCAGGGGGGGGGGGCCACGGGGGCCATGGCCCCCCCTTTGGTGCTGAAAGGTGGGGCCATACTATCTTTTGGCCCCACCTTCCAGATCGAACAAAAGTCCTAGAAAGCTTTTTGTATGTTTCATTTGCTTTTTTGCGCCTTCAAAGGACGTAAATTTCGCTCATGAGTGGGCTCAGTTTCGCATTCTGTCAATTTGGCGGTCAGCGTCGCTGGCACCGGTTCACGAGAATGGCCGGATATTATATGTAATATCATCGTGGGTTTACTTGAGGCTCTCGTAGGACCAGCAATGGCTGGCATGAGACCCTCTTCGGCAGTGGCGGGTGGGCCCTGCCAAATGAACGTGGCTCTACGACACTAAAGTAAGACCTCATGGGTTGGTGCTGTGCACCTCAGAAGCCCGGTGGTGGCGCCGTATGCCGGCTTGGTTTTTTAAGGATTAGTGTGGGACCTCCGGGGCCTGCATAGAGTTTACATGAGCTAGTATGCGATCTCAGAGACCTGTGTGTAATGTGTACACAGTGGCGGTCGCGGGGGGGGGGGCATCAGGGCCATGCCCCCCCCCCCCAGGCCAATAAAGGGGCCATCATATCATTTGCCCCCTCAAACAACCGATGGGCCCCCATAGGTGTATGGGGCCCTGGCCCTTATTCGATCGTCACGAGGCTAAAAAAAACCCACTTCCAGCTATAAATATAGCTCCCACAGGTCGGTCTTTGAACGTCCTACACTGACCTCTGAGGGAGCTTCAGTGGCGGTCAAGCGTCCACCACGGATCACATAACGGATCGGCAACTCCCCCCGCGACCTGTCTCCCCTGCACACCTATCCGTGCTTCTATCCTCAGGATACTGAAATCCTTCTCCTCCACGCCACAACCCCCTTCCGGGCTGGACAGGCAACTTTATCTCATGCGGGCTGCTCCCTTGGAGCGGCACCGCTGCTCCCGAGGGAGCTGCACCCCGTAGCCGGGTGCAGAGAGTGCTTGGGGGGCTGGTCGGCCTGTCCTATGGACGGGCTCAGCCCCGGCGACTCTCTAGGGTGCCTGCCCAGACCAATGTCTCCCCCTAATTCCTATCATCCTTCCGGCTCTGCAATGGTCTTGTCGACCGAAAGGGCCTAACCCAACAAAACAAACAAAGTCTCCCCTGCCACCTGGTGGGCATTTAGGTGAACTATCTTCACTAAGGACGCGGCCGGCCTCGTGCGTGTTGAGGGCGTCGTGTCGGAGCTAATTAAGTGATTTTTCTGCGGAACGTGGTTTCTCAGCTAGCTCAGAAGATATCTATGGTATAAATGAGAATGGCAAGAATCGTTAGAGACAGGTTAAGTATTTGAGATTGTATCCTTTGTCATGAAAATCGTTGTTTTCATACCCACGTGGGCGACCTAGCGCGAAATTGGTAATTTTCCGATCGTTGTCATCTCTTACATATATTTCATGAGTATATTTTTGATAAATATTCATCTGCCGATTAAATTAAACCTGTAACTTTCACAAATATACTTGCGTTAAGTATAAACCCACGTCGGGCCGGTACACGGTACACTACCAACCGCGCCGGGCCGAGGGTGTATGAAATCCCCCCCCCCAAACTCGGCTTCTGGGCCACGTAGCCACACGGGGTAAGCGGCATTCCAAAGAGCGTAAAAAATATTGGCGGAAATACTCAGGTCATTTTTTAGGTCAGGTCAAAGGTCAGGTCGCCAGAGGTCATTAAAGGCAAATTTTGTTTATTTCAACAACTTTCGAAACACCCGACGCATAACTTGGGAACCAATAAAACTACAGCGCCGCGGAAAAGCGCATTCGATAGCTCTTTCACAGGTCTTTCTTAGTTTTATTCTTAGATTTGACCTCAGGTCAACGGTGTAGCCTACAGAGGGCAAAAACTCCAAAAATAGCCGTGTTTACGAAAAACGTTTTTTTTCGGTAATAACTTTTGACTCAAACGAGCCACGACATTACTTTTGCCAGCATCGTGTTCCTCTCGTCGAGACGCGTCGAATGAATTATAGGTTGACCTTGAAAGGTCATTTAGAAAATTTTACGTAAGGTGGTCATGACCTGACCGGAAAGGGTCATGCTGCATATCAGTCGATC